GTTCTATGGTTTCTCCCTAGCGTGAACTCTCTGATGCAAAATGAGACTTGACGACTTGTCAAAATAGTCTCCACATTCCAAGCACTTCAATGGTGTTTTCCACAGGTGAAATTTTTGATGGTTGCCAAGAGATTTTGATGGTTGCCACTCTCACCTGCTGCTCTGCCTGCTTCCTCTCCTCTGCCTGACTCAGGAGGAAACCTTCGGCCAGGGCCACCGCCTGGGAACTGGTCTCCACTCCACATTCCCTCACCCAGCTCTCCATCTCTGATGGAAGGACAGTCAGGAACTGCTCCAGGATCACCAGGTCCAATATCTCACTCTTTGAGTGTTGCTCTGGTTTCAGCCACTGATGGCAGAGACTGTAAAGTCAGCTGCAGGCATCTCGGGGGCCCTCAGCCTCCCGGTAGCAGAATTGTCTGAACTGCTGGCGCTGGACTTCTGAGGTGAGGGTGTCCTTTTCATCCATTGAATCCTGCAAAGCCAAGACATTGTTCTGTTGTAAAACTGCTACACTGTCAGAGAGGAATAATGTTCCCCGAGCAAGGGTAGATGAGTCCAACTGGTAACCAGGGCTGGATTATAGTGATGCAATAGCCCTTCTAAAAGGATAGTTAATAAACAAAATGTGCAGGCCACTTTCTAAGCCAGCAGTTCTCAAAGTATTGGACCTCTAATGAGCCTCAGCATCCCTGCGTGTGGGCCTCTCAGCCTCATTGTTCCCCCTCCTCAGCTTGTGAGATATGAAAGCTGGGAATCTGTGTAACATACTTAAAATTGCCCAGTGTGTTGCCTCTGTTACATGCACTCCTGTCCCCATTCAACAGGTTTGTTTACTTTCAGACAGGTTGTCACCTGCATTTGATCATTTGCTTAAAAGACCGCTTGTCCGTTCTCAGGAGTGTTTTCCATTCCATCACAAAACACCCCCTCCCCCTCTGCATGTGTTGCATGTCTGAATGAGCACATGCAAGTGACCATTGCCTAACTAATGTCGGGGAGGAACCTTAAATGTAGTGTTATAAGAAAAATACAGTGGTACCTCTGGTTACCAACTTAATTCGTTCCAGAGGTACGATCTTAACCTGAAACCGTTCTTAACCTGAGGTGCCACTTTAGCTAATGGGGCCTTGCACCGCCGCCGCACATTTTCTGTTCTCGTCCTGAGGTAAAGTTCTTAACCCGAGGTACTACTTTTGAGTAAGCGGAGTCTGTAATCCGAGGTGTTTGTAACCCGAGGTACCACTGTACTGCTCCCTTTCCCTTATGGGGTATCTAAGAGCCCATATGGAGTCCCCTTTCTCATACTGATAGTTCACTATCAGTATGAGAAAATAACAGAGGCCAACCAGAGAATATTGAGAAGCAGAGCAGATAGTAAGCATGATCTTTATTAAACTGTTGCAGCAGGGTCCCCCGCTCACCCCACGCAGGGAGGGAGTGGAGTGGAGGAACCTAGAACAATGGTGTTCAAGCTCTTATATAGACATTTTAAAATTGACTCCCCTGCAGCTCAAGACCATCCCCCAAAACATCATACATACATCACTGGAGGGGCAGTCTACAGCAGAAAACCTGTCTGCCAGGATACCTGATAATGGTCACTGATTGCTTTTACCTGGGCATCCTGGCCATTCTTTTGTGATGGTAAATAGTTCCTGAATCCAGGTCACAGGCTCGCCCTATTCATACACAGATATGCCCTTAAGACAGGATTTGTGAGCAAAGAGACAATGGGTTGGCTTTCCCAGTTCCTTTCTCCTTGCAGGGATACATTTGAGGTCAATTTGGGAGAGTCAGAATGGTTTCAGGATTGCTCTCCTGTACTATATATGTAGTTTATATACTTATGTAGGTTTGCCTTGTAAATTTATGAACATATGATTTATTATATGTGAGACCTTATAACAGTAGGGAGCTCCTTGACTTTGCAGAGGGACAGAATCTGAGCTCCTTACTTGGGGGGTGTCCCCTGGATGGATCATCTGCACCCTCCCCCAAAGAAGACCTTGGACTCTCCCCCAAAATGCACAATATAAGGGGGGGGGGTTGACTTACCAAATCTCAGAAGGGTCCCTTGATGTGATCTTTGGAGAGACAGAGGCCACCTTCACACCTCACACCCCCCAAGTCCAAAGCCAGGCAGGAAGGATTGGGGGGGGGGAATGCATTGCCCTGGAGGACTCCACCCCCTTCCCTTCCTCTCTAGGAGACCAGTTCAGTTCCCCTTAACCCTTAGAAAGCTATGCAGGAAGACTGCCTGTAGCTCAGCAGCAGCTGGAAGGGAAAGTCCTTCCCATTCAGAAGCTCCAGGGTTCAATCCTTGGCGTTGCCTGTTGAGAAAACCAGGCGGAGAGGGAAGGCCAAGGAGCAGGATCAGCTCCCTCTGTGCCTCTCAAAGGGGATGGATCATGCTCTGATCCACGCAGGGGAGCTTTGGGCACACGCCAAATACATCTAAAGTGCATTTTTACCCGGGAAGCGTAGTTTCTGGAGGGTGTCGGGAGTTGTGCCTGTGAGGGGTAAACTACAGTTCCCATATTTGGGATGTGGGGGGGGGATATGTGCTTTAAATGCAGGGTTTGCTCATAGTCCAAGTGACACTCCAGGTTCTCATGCTTCAGATTTCCTGTCCCAAAGGGCTGGGCTGCTTCTAATAACTGATCAGGTTGAATTGAGAGGAAGTCAATCACATTTTAGTGCTATTGACGTAAATGGGGCAAATTAATCTTGACTTACCAATACCAGTGTATCAGTGGCATCAGCAGCTGGGTTTTGTGTGAGTATGGATTAGACCCTGACCCGTCACTTTATCTGTCCAAGGGTCCTTTACCTTATCACCATACCATTGTGTCCCCATATGTGCTTTTCTGTATTTTATAACCCTTCTGTCCCAAATCATGTGTATACATAATAGGGTTGCCATATGCCTGCAATTTTCTGGACATAGTTGGAATACGGCCATCGGAACACTGTACGGGCGGAAATTGCTCAAATGCCCAGGAAACTCTAGCAATCCATGTCAGAAGTCTAGATTTTGGTGAATTTCCTTAAAAATAGCTTAAAAAACATCACACACACACATGAGAGTGTCAAACCTTGGTTCCCGAACACCTCATTTTGGAATGTTTTGGATTTCTGTGGTGCTGCAGCATGTCAAAATACAGTGGAACCTCAGTTGTCAAACACTTTGGAACCCGAACGCCAACAACCCGGAAGTGAATGCTTCCGTTTCTGAATGCGCCTCAGAAGTTGAACAGCTTCCAAGGGGTGTTTCTCCATTTTAAAAAAGGAATTTGCCGACCAGCAATTGTGCCTTGGTTGTCAACCGGTTCAGAAGTCTAATGGTCTTCTGGAACAGATTGCGTTCGACAAGGTTCCACTGTAATTTTATTTATTCTTCTGGATTCTAAGGTTTAAAATGAACTGAGCTGGATTCTAACAGCTGTAGGGACATTTGTGGGGTTGGGATTGGGGAGAGAGAAGTGAGTAAAACCCTCCAAACACTCAAAAAGTCAACTCCCTTCGTCCAGCAGGTGAGAACTTTCTTGTTCCAACACTTTGGGGAACTGACTGCTTTGAATGAAAGGGCTGCTGCTGTGCTGTTCTTGCTGTCATTATTTTTTATGGTTTAACAATTGTTTTAAAGAAAAGATGGTTCTTTTCTGTTTTAGCCGTTCTTGTTCTTATCCACAAACTGCCTTGAGTCCCATAAGGGGAAAAGGCAGGGTATCAATAAATAGAAGGATAATACAGTACTAAATTGTCTTTCATGGATTATCAAGAATGATTCATCTGACCAAGTGGACTACAACTCCAAAACAGCTTGTGCCTCCACTAGATTTTAACCCTGATCTCCCAGGTCCCAGTTCATTAAATATGTCTCTATTTTATTTCACTTTCTGGAAATAAGACATAGGAGTAAATAAGGTGGGTCCTGGAGGAATTCCTTTTCCATAGTCCTAGAACTGGATGGGTACTTTGTTAAAAGTCCTGCGACTAGCCTATTCAGCCTGCAATTCTGGACACAATTATCTGTAGATTACATTGAATTCAGTGAGGATTTGTTCTGAGAAATGTACAGCTATCATGACACAAATATCTCTACAAATCGTGACCTGGGATGGGTCCTGGAAGTTTAGGGTAAATGTACACTAAATGTGTGTTGCCAGCAATGTTTAATTACTAGCAAATAATAATAATAATAATAATAATAATAATAATAATAATAATAATAATAATACTTTTTATTATTTATAGCCCGTCCATCTGATTGGGTTGCCCCAGCCACTCTGGGTGGCTTCCAACATATTTTAAAGCATAATAAAACATTACACATTTAAAAGCTTCCCTATACAGCACTGTATCTTTCCAATCAAAAGAAAGAATGGAGATCTCCAGGGTCAATATTAGCGTTCTCCAAAGAAAAACTCAAGAAACAGGAAAAATACAGGAAACGGGAAAGATAACCATTCTGTCATTTCTAACCAGGGGCATCTCCTTTCAACTTCAAACTTTGAAATATGAACAGAATAGTAAACCTAGAGGGACTTGTAGGAAACAATGGTACAATGAAATAAAGGCATTATGAACCTCACTCATGTAGGGAGACCCTCCCTTCCCCGTAAGGATACATTGCCCAAAATAGTACAGTGGTACCTCAGGTTAAGAACTTAATTCGTTCTGGAGGTCCATTCTTAACCTGAAACTGTTCTTAACTTGAGGTACCACTTTAGCGAATGGGGCCTCCCGCTGCTGCCACGCCACCGGAGCACGATTTCTGTTCTCATCCCGAAGCAAAGTTCTTAACCCGAAGTACTATTTCTGGGTTAGCGGAGTCTGTAACCTGAAGCGTCTGCAACCTAAAGCGTCTGTAACCCGAGGTACCACTGTACTTAAATCCCAGATTTTCATTGGTTGGGTAGCTCAAAGCTCCAATGGAATACCCTTCTTCATGCCTTGCTGGAAATGGGCGAAAAGAAGGACTGAGAGAGATGCTGTAGCCTGGCTGGTAGAGGTTATTTGTGGGGAGAGCAGAGCTCATCACCAAAGGTACAGAGATATATGTGAGAGCTGGACACACCTGTGCATTCAGATGGACACCATGCAACACAGCTCTGTCTGGACCTATGACTTGCCAGCATTTATTCCTTTCATAGTTTGATTCCATTATGCTTTGCTTGATGGGAAGTGAGATAGGCCCTCTGACTGAAGCTCCGTCCACATTCCAAGCACCGATACGGCTTCTCTCCGTTATGAATTCTTTGATGAGCCGTGAGATGGTAGCTCCGGCTGAAGCGCTTTCCGCATTCCAAGCACTGATACGGCTTTTCCCCTGTGTGAAGCGTTTGATGGGATGTGAGAATTTGCTTCAACCTGAAGCTCTTCCCACATTCCAAGCACTGATACGGCTTTTCCCCTGTGTGAAGCGTCTGGTGGGAAGCGAGAGTTTGCTTCAACCTGAAGCTCTTCCCACATTCCAAGCATGGATATGGTTTTTCCCCTGTGTGAAGTGTTTGATGGGAAGTGAGATTTACCTTTAAACTGAAGCTCTTCCCACATTCCAAGCACTGATAGGGTTTCTCCCCTGTATGAATTCTTCGATGGAAAGTGAGACGGTCTTTCCGAGAGAAGCTCTTTCCACATTCCAAGCACTGAAATGGCTTTTCCCCTGTGTGAAGTGTCTGATGGGAAGTGAGATTATGCTTTAAATTGAAGCTCTTTCCACATTCCAAGCACTGATATGGTTTCTCCCCTGTATGAATCCTTTGATGTGTAGTCAGGCTGTCGCTCATACGGAAGCTCTTCCCACATTCCAAACATGGATATGGCCTCTCCCCTGTATGAATTCTTTGATGGGAAGCGAGACGGTTGTTTCGACTTAAGCACTTTCCGCATTCCAAGCACTGATAAGGTTTTATCCCTGTGTGAAATGTTTGGTGTTTAAGGAAGTCTGTGCTTCTTTTGAAGCTCTTACCACAGTCAAAGCATTGATACGGTTTCTCTTCTGAATGAATTATTTCATGCCTAGTGAGATTTGACTTCCTGCTAAAGTTTTTTCCACATTGCAAGCACTGATACTGTTTCTTCTCACCGTCCGTTTTTTGTTGGGACCTCTGGCTGAATCTCTCTCCACTCTCCAAATTTACATTCTGCTCCCTCACTGTGTAGACATTATCGTGGTCTCCTTTATTCTTTGTTTCCAGTTCATCACCTTCTGCAATGAAGACAGAAACTGATTAGAGCCTTAGGATGAAACTGGGTTCCAAATTATTGAGCAATGCCAAGGAACAGTTGTAAAATGGAAGAACTGAAGGGACTTTGATGTGAGGCAGATCTTTCTGGCAGGGGTCCTAAGGTGGACTGAGAGGCTGTTAGCCCCAGAGCTATGACTTCCTAGTGCGGAGACGAAAATATGTGACTGCCCACAACCAGCTGGCTGCTTAAAATGCACTCCTGACTGCTCCTTCGCAAGTAAGGTTCCTGTCAGGACCCTTCCAGGGGGGAGGAAGAGGGAGATAGTATAGATTTGCAACAGGGGTTTGAGGGAGGTAGAAGCTCAGAGGCAGATGAGGGGAAAAGCTGGGAAATCATGGGATAGCTGGAACAACACCCAGCTGACACTTTGTCATTAGAAAGCTTTCCAGACCCACCATCTCCCAGAACCCGGCGAGCCTTAAAAGTAGGAGAGCAAAGAGCTCAAAGACAGAGGGCATGTAGCAGCACCCATAGAAGTGACGAATGAGGAAGTGGGAGAGACGGGGGTGGAGATTCACTCAGGACAACACCATTATCTAAGAGTCTGGGTTCTATAACCTCTCTGTAAAGATTGAAATAAAAAAGGATGGTAAGAAACTTTTCCTTCTCTTTATACTTTCCTGGGCCGCGGACAGAAACGCAACAGCTCCCTTCTCTGCATTGATCAGCTGATCTGCCCAAACTAAGATCAGCTGCATTAGGGTGTTTTAGAAACCCCCAGGTAAATGTGAAAGGATTTTCCACACTGATCAGCTGATTGGCGCTGAAAGCTGGCCTTCAAGGGGGCTTTGAATTCCCCCCTTTCTAATTGCCACCTGATGTCATAATGTCATCAGAAGATTGATAGACAGATATGAATGACTACCTGTCAAAGTTGGCTTATGCATAGAGCAGGGAACTATCTGCCTCACCAGCCAGATCCAGTTCCCCTTGCTCATCTAATGGATCTTAGATGGAACTCTTCAATGTGCTGGCATGGAACTTTGGAGGGATGCTGTCAGCCAGAGGAGACAACACTGGGCAAGACTGACCAATGGTTAGAGCAGTCAAAACCACTTTGCTAATTGTTTAGAAGGGGGAAACTGGAGGAATCATATTTAGAGACAAAACAATATACCATCTTCCATTTGAGGTTAACAGCAGAGGCGTTAGAATACCAGATGCCGTAGGTGCTGCTGCTGAATTCCAGCACAATGTTGTAGGTTCATCGCACATATAAAACACCTGACTTTCATAAGAGAGATAAAACAGCCTTACTGAGAGAGGCCATGATCCTACAGGTCTCCTCCATGACTTCTTTATGCAGAGCTCTCTGGTCAGGATCCAGCAGCACCCACTCCTCATCTGTGAAATGCACAGCCACATCCTCAAAGGATGCTGAACCCTAAAATAAAAAGGAAATATTTCCACCTTAGAGATAGCTCATCAGAGACAGCTCATTACCAGGTTGTCCATTGTCTATAAACTGTTATGTTGCTTTAATGGCATAATTTTTTTTGGTACAATTTACCGTATTTTTCGCCCTATAGGACGCAATTTTTCCCCGCCAAAAATGAAGGGGAAATGTGTGTGCGTCCTATGGGGCGAATGCAGGCTTTCGCTGAAGCCTGGAGAGCGAGAGGGGTCGGTGCGCACCGACCCCTCTCGCTCTCCAGGCTTCAGGAAGCTCTCCGCAAGCAGTGGGAGAGCTGCGTGGAGAGCTGCCTGGACCCAGAAGCCTGGGGGGCGCTGAGCTCAGCGCCCTCCAGGCTTCGGGCTTCACACAGCTCTCGGCAAGCAGTGGGAAAGCTGCGCGAAGTCGCGCAACTCTCCCACCGCTTTGCGGAGAGCTGCCTGTTCTGGGGGCTGGGGTCGGGGGAAGCTCGGGCTTCCCCCGCCCCAGCCCCGCGCCTGGGGGAAAAATAATTTCCCCCCCTTATTTCCCCCCCAAAAAACTAGGTGCGTCCTATGGGCCGGTGCGCCCTATGGGACGAAAAATACGGTAATTATGGGTGTTTATTTTAATGTTTCAATGGAATTGTTTCATTTCTGTAACTGCTTTTTCTACTGTCAGCTGTTTAGAAGCTTACCTTAGCATTGTTATTTAAATTCATACGTAGCACTGCTACGTAGTGCCACTGTATTCTGCTCTGGTCAGACCTCACCTGGAGTACTGTGTCCAGTTCTGGGCACCACAGTTTAAGAAGGACACTGACAAACTGGAACGTGTCCAGAGGAGGGCAACCAAAATGGTCAAAGGCCTGGAAACGATGCCTTATGAGGAACGGCTAAGGGAGCTGGGCATGTTTAGCCTGGAGAAGAGGAGGTTAAGGGGTGATATGATAGCCATGTTCAAATATATAAAAGGATGTCACATAGAGGAGGGAGAAAGGTTGTTTTCTGCTGCTCCAGAGAAGCGGACACGGAGCAATGGATCCAAACTACAAGAAAGAAGATTCCACCTAAACATTAGGAAGAACTTCCTGACAGTAAGAGCTGTTCGACAGTGGAATTTGCTGCCAAGGAGTGTGGTGGAGTCTCCTTCTTTGGAGGTCTTTAAGCAGAGGCTTGACAACCATATGTCAGGAGTGCTCTGATGGTGTTTCCTGCTTGGCAGGGGGTTGGACTCGATGGCCCTTGTGGTCTCTTCCAACTCTATGATTCTATGATTCTACTAAGAAACAATTCTGGCTGCATCTAAAAGGATAGTTAAGGCGAGGTAAAGGTAAAGGGACCCCTAACCGTTAGCTCCAGTCATGGCTGACTCTGGGGTTGTGGCGCTCATCTCGCTTTACTGGCCAAGGGAGCTGGCATACAGCTTCCGGGTCATGTGGCCAGCATGACTAAGCCGCTTCTGGTGAACCAGAGCAGTGCACGGAAACGCCGTTTACCTTCCTGCCAGAGCGGTACCTATTTATCTACTTGCACTTTGCTGTGCTTTTGAACTGCTAGGTTGGCAGGAGCAGGGACCGAGCAACAGGAGCTCACCCCGTCGCAGGGATTTGAACCGCCGACCTTCTGATCGGCAAGGCCTCGGCTCTTTGGTTTAGACCACAGGGACACCCGCGTGGTAGCTGTTCCTCATTCTCAGGATTTAAAGTTTCCTTGAGTGGCCTTCAAAGCTTTCGTTCAGCTCACATTTCAGAGAAGGAAAGTGAAAGAAAATTGATTCTGGCTCAGAGAGGAGAGGACAGAGGCAATCTGGCTGCCCCCAGCCTCTCCCCCCCCCCACTGATTTGCCCCACTACCTGATCTGGTACCACAGAAGCTGATTCCCCTCCTTTGTGAAGAGAATATGGCTGAAGAGATCTTTCCAGCATCATCCCATCACCTGTGAAATACAAAGTTGATGGAAAGCTTGTCTCAGAGGTTAAGCATTGCATGTCTAACTACAAACAGGCTTTAGAAATAGTCTCATCTGTTTTTTTATTCCAATTTTTTATTTCAGGATTGTGGAATTGCATCTCTCCCGCTTTGGGCTTTTGTCCGTAACTTAAAACTTTAAAAACAGGGAAATGTTGTTTTGAGCTACGGAAAAGGCTGGAGAGAAGTACCTTCTGCTCCAAACACCAAAGGAGCCCATGGAAGTATTTTGCAATTAAACAAGGAAGGCAAACTGGGATCTATTTCTGCAATGCTTACCCAGTGGGTGCTTTCTGGTGTCTGGTGGAGTCCTCTCATTATCGGAGAAATCATTGCTCATCTCTGCAAACAGAACTTTCCCCTGAAACGGCAATAAAAATTCAAAACATGGAATGGGGAGAAAAATTAGAAAAGGCATTACAAGAAGCAGAAACCTTAAGGGTTACTGTATATCCTTGGAAGCTTGCAAAAAATGTTGCAATTAGTAGCGAATTTTGAGGTACCCTCAATCACATTTGAAGTTCTTGCTGCTTTCTAGATTGGAGCACTCACCTGCCAGTTTTCCTGCTTTTTCTCCTCTGCCTGGCTCAGGAGGAAAGCTTCCACCAGGGCCACCGCCTGGGAGCTGGTCTCCGCTCCACATTCCCTCACCCAGCTCTCCATCTCTGATGGAAGGACAGTCAGGAACTGCTCCAGGATGACCAGGTCCAGGATCTCCTTCTTTGTGTGTTGGTTTGGCTTTAGCCACTGATGGCAAAGATGGTGGAGTTGGCTGCAAACCTCCCGAGGGCCTTTGGCCTCCTGGTAAAGGAAATGCCTGAAACACTGGGGCTGAACGTACGAGATGAGGGTGTCCTTAGTCCTTGTGTTCTCCCAGAATCCTCTACTGCTTCCAGTCTCGCTGGCATCCCGGCCACTTCCTGCTTCAAGTCCTCTGGAATCTTCCTCCTCCATCGGTTCTCCCAGGAAGTCTCCAAGAGGTTCACAGGAACTCCTTTCCTCTTCTGCCAATTTCTGTCTGTCCTAATGAGAGGTGCTAGCAAGTCCTAGAAGGCCAAGACATTGTTCTTCTGTAAAATTGCTTCATTTTCAGAATAGGAAGAATGTTCCCTGAGCAAAGGTGGATGGGTCTCAATAGTTAAAAATAGGTAAAGAACCCCTGGAGGGTTAAGGTCCAGTATACCTGAAGGAGCGTCTCCACCTCCATCGTTCTACCCGGACACTGAGGTCCAGCGCCGAGGGCCTTCTGGCGGTTCCCTCACTGTGAGA